TCCTTCAAGAACTTTTCCTTTGCATTCACAACCTGGCTAACTGTTTGGTGCAAGAGGCCTAGCTTTTGGCCTATCTCCGCTTTTGACATGCCTTCCTCACTAAGCTTAATCATTTCTAGCTTTTGATTTAAAGTGAGAGATGTGCAATTCTTCCTTTCACTTGAACACTTAGAGGCCATTGTAGGGTTATTAATTGGCCTAATTTCAATATTGTTGTGTCTCAGGGAATAGGGAGGCCCGAGGAGAGGGAGAGAGACGGGGGCACGGCCGGTCAGTGGAGCAGTCAGAACACACACAACATTTATCGATTAAGTTTGCCGTCTTATATGGGCGTGGTTCGTGGCGCCCCAAAACAATTACAATAGTAACATCAAAGATCACAGATCACCATAACAAATATAATAATAATGAAAAAGTTTGAAATATTGTGAGAATTACCAAAATGTGACACAGAGACATGAAGTGAGCAAATGCTGTTGGAAAAATGGCGCCGATGGAAAAATGGCGCCGATAGACTTGCTCGACGCAGGGTTGCTACAAACCTTCAATTTGTAAAAAATGCAATATCTGCAAAGCGCAATAAAGCAAAGCACAATAAAACAAGGTATGCCTGTATTCAGAAATGAATGCCTGTTCATACCCAAAGTTGAAAACTTTAGCACCCTGATTCACAAGGCATAGTTGACTCAATCAGGAATATGGCAGAGATCTATGAGATAGAATCCGGAAGGGCAGGTCTTGACTCTTCACAACCTTCTGAAGTTGGGTTAATAACATACATTCAAAGGTGAGTTGTCTCAAAACAAAAGGAAATCATTAGTGAATGATTAGCAAGGAACTTTAATGTATAATAACTCAAGATAACTGGCAGCAGTTTTTAAATACAGACAACTCTAAGCCACTTAAAATAATTTCTCTGGGCTCTTGAATCACTATTGTCAAACACTAATATCAATCAGTGATGTAGATTTCAAAATCTGCTACAGGAAGATGATACTGATCATGCTTTTAACTATCTTATACTTATTACTATACAGCTTCAGGGGTTTTCGTCCTGATTGCGGAATTTCAGGGGATGTCTAAATTGGTGCTTAATCCTGCTGCAAATGCGTGTGTAAAGCTTGGGTTTGGACCTATCAACCATCCACATTACAACCCCCTGAGCACATTACAAATCCATGCCAGCAGCAGTCCAGGCTGTTCCCTGAGTATCTGGGCAGAGGCTGAGATTTTGCCTACCTCTCTGTCCTCCTTGCCTTGTGTTCAGAACTGAACAGGGTGCTTCATCATATAGAATAAGTTTACTAGTAGACCTTCTGTACCCTATTTCCTGTCTCTACTGCCCATGATTAAAAACAAGAACAGAAGAATGGGTAATTTTTAATAGAATGCTTCCTGTCCTAAAAATCAGTTTGGCCATGCCTTGCATCTCCTTTTGTGCCTTCTGCATACTTCTGCAGGAAAGTAACAGACAGGAAGGAATGGCTTGTGTGGCTTTGGGTAGTTGAGTGCAAGGAGAGATCCTGGAAGACAAAGGCTGACTTATGTCAAGAGCCTATCTAAATGGCTCCTGGGGCAGTTGCTCTTATTGCCCACTACCACTCATTCAGCCATTGGTAAATCAACTTTATTTATTTGTTCTTCAGTGCACTAAACTTGTCACACCTAGATATTAACTATGTGCTATTAGACTATGTTAACTAACCAATGGTAAATCATCCAGTTTAACAAACTAAAGTGAACTAAACTACCTAGACATTTGCTGGGAGGAGCAGACAGCCAGGTCTGACTGCCTTGCTGGACCTGGTCCTGGCCATGGGGGTTGACCTGGTGAGGGGACTGCAGGTCCTTGACCACCTGGGCAATAGCGATCATCACCTGCTGGATTTCACTATCCAACGCAGGGTATCAAGGGCTCACACCAAGGCTAAAGCCCTTGACTTCAAAAGGGCCAGCTTCAATGAGCTTAGGAGACTAGTGGGGGAGGCACTGAGGGCCCAGAAGGTAGAGGAGATGGGAGTCCATGAGGGATGGTTGTACTTTAAGGGGGCGATCCTCCAGTCCCTGAGAGAAGCAAGTGCGGTAAGAGTGCTCAGAAACCCCCTTGGCTCAGAAAAGTCACTCAGGAATGCTTGAGGACTAGAAAGAGGGTGTACAACCAGTGGAAGGGAGGAGCTATCACCAAGGAGGAGTACTTATCCTCAGCCCGTGAGTGTAGGAGGGCTATTAGGAAGGCCAAGGCAGAGATGGAACTCAGGCTAGCGTCCAGGATTAAGGACAACAAAAAGTACTTTTTCAAGTACATTGGGAGCAAGAAGAGAGCACCAGGCAATGTAGGGCCCCTGCAAGACGCAAACGGTAATCTTGTGGCTACGCCAGACAAGAAAGCTGATATTTTTAACAGTTTCTTTGCCTCCATTTTCTTGAACAGGGACCGGGATATCTCACCTATCAGAGGTAGGGACAATCTTGGGGATGACTCTGTCAGTGCAGATGTAGTTAGGGATCTTCTGGAAGGGCTAGACATTTTAAAATCTGCAGGTCCAGATGCCCTCCACCCAAGGGTGTTGAGGCAGCTGGCAGGGGTCATTGTGGAGCCCTTGGCCTGGCTGTATGAGCATTCATGGTCATATGGCTAGGTGCCAGGGGATTGGAAACTGGCTAATGTGGTCCCAATTTTCAAGAAGGGGAGGAAGGAGGACCCAAGTAACTATAGGCCTGTAAGTCTCACCTCGGTGCTTGGGAAGATCTTGGAGAGAATCATCAAGGAGTACATCTGTGGGGGGCCAGCAGGGGAGATCATGCTTAGGGGCAATCAGCATGGGTTCATCAAAGGCAGGTCCTGCCTGACCAACCTGATTGCCTTTTATGATCAAGTAACTAAATCCTTGGATGATGGTGTTGCTGTGGATGTAGTCTTTCTGGACTTTAAGAAGGCCTTTGACACTGTCTCTCACCCCATCCTCATCAATAAATTAAACGACTGTGGCACTGATGCCTGCACAGTTGGATGGATAAAAAATTGGCTGATGGGGAGCACACAGAGAGTAGTGGTGGATGGGTTGAACTCAACCTGGTGAGATGTGAACAGTGGGGTACCCCAGGGCTCAGTCCTCAGGCCTGCACTGTTTAACATCTTCATCAGCGATTTGGACAAGGGGGTGG